TTTCGGTCTAATCTTTTCTCTCCCCCTCAATGTGTGTAATGTGTTTGTAAAATATAAAAAGTTAAGCTTGTAAAAAAAAATATATTAAATAAAAAATTACAAAAAACGACAGGTGGTAAAAAGGTTCAGCTATGTGGATTGGCACAGTACGGGAGTCTCATAGGAGTCACGATTGGTTACACCATCACTGCCTCCATAAGCTTAGTGTAAGTTATATAGTTTGAGAATGTATAATGTTATGGTTATTATAACATGTTGTGAAGAAAAAATTAAGTTTTGGTTGATGTTGTGTTTGGTTAGAGCGATTGGGAAAGCAAATTGTTTTCATGACAAGGGACATGGTGCAAAATGTTCGGTTTCGAATTATCCATACATGGCTGCATTTGGAACCGTCCAGATTATTCTTAGTCAGATCCCTAATTTTGACAAGCTCTCTTTCCTCTCCATTATCGCCACGGCTATGTCCTTCTCTTATGCGTCTATCGGAATTGGCTTAGCCATCGCAACTGTGGCAAGTACGTTTTCGTTCCATATATTATTGTTTTATATCAAAAATACATTTATGGTGTTTAGCTTTCGTTATAAAAAATGTAGGAGATATGATACACCGGTTGTCCATCTTATTGTACATACAAGTTACATATGAGATTGTTTATGTGGGTATAAAATCATCTGGATCTAGGCCTAATTAACTATAGGATTCTCATAGATTTGCAAACATGATATAAATCTTCAAATTACTAATGGCGAAAAAGGTATGATTTATGGAAGGTGGGAAGGTTGGTAAGACGGGGCTAACGGGCACGGTGGTAGGAGTAGACGTAACTGCGTCTGACAAAATATGGAAATCGTTTCAAGCGGTTGGAGACATTGCATTCTCATACGCTTATTCCATTGTTCTCATTGAGATTCAGGCATGTATTAATTTATAGTACTTGTATAACTATATATATCTTTCACATTTTAGCAAAAAGAAACAATATATATATACTTCTTTTTCATTTAGAAGTTGGTGGATATAGATAAGACATTAGATTCAATAAGGTATATACATATGTTAAGCTTGCTTGTGTGTATTTTCTTTTTCATTTTTTTGCAGGATACATTGAGATCAAGTCCACCAGAGAACAAAGTCATGAAAAAGGCAAGTCTTGCGGGAGTCTCAACCACAACTTTTTTCTATCTTTTATGTGGCTGCATGGGATATGCTGCATTCGGAAACAAAGCCCCTGGTGACCTCCTTACTGACTTTGGATTTTATGAACCTTTCTGGCTCATCGATTTTGGCAATGCATGCATTGCTCTCCACCTAATATGCGCCTATCAGGTAACTCATAATTAGGATTACCCGATTATATATATAAAAAGATTAGTATCCACCATTCACAATCTTGAAGTTAATATAGTTGATGATCTTTATATAATGGGCAGGTGTTCGCACAACCAATTTTCCAATTTGTTGAGAAGAAATGCAACAAAAAATGGCCTGAAAGCAATTTCATCACTAATGAACATTCGATAAACATACCATTGGTCGGAAAATGTCGCATTAATCTCTTCAGATTGGTGTGGAGGACAGTTTATGTGATTGTGACAACAGTTGTAGCAATGATATTCCCTTTCTTCAACGCGATCTTGGGGTTTATCGGGGCAGCCGCGTTTTGGCCTCTAACAGTTTACTTCCCCGTGGAGATGCACATTGCGCAGAGAAAGATCAAGAAATATTCTCTTAGATGGATAGGACTAAAACTCCTTGTATTTGTTTGTTTGATTGTTTCGCTCCTAGCGGAAATCGGATCCATCGTTGGCTTGATAGGTAGTGTCAAGGCATACAAGCCTTTCCACAATATAAACTAGTGGCCTGTGATCTATCTTAATTTTGTGAGAACGACTTCTTTCAAGAAAATGAGTTTGTAGTTATAAACTTATAATTAAGTGTTCTTTATAACTAAGTGTTCTTCAAGCAGTGTTGTGGATTCAAGTCCGGATATTCGGGTGTCCTAGGCTGCGATTGCTTCAAACGCCATTTCATATGCGAAATCAAAGAAAATATTGTTAGTTTTTAGTAAACGTTAAATTCAAACGGAGTGTGTCTTTTCGTTCAGACTGTAAATTAATCATATAAAATAATACAACGTACCAAAGAGTAGAAATCTTCTAATAGAGAATGTAAAGGTCATTTCAATCGCATTGTAAAATGTGAGAAATATAGAAAAACATTCGTACTACTATTTGGAGAACCACATGTTTGTAGGGACAATATGTATTTATAAACTTTATTATGGATGAAAAATACGTAAGACGAATTGACTTTGAAAGACCTATAGTACTGTATATCTCTGTCGTAAAATTTTAGGTATGC